GATTTAATGTGAAATATCAAAGTGTATTACAGCACATGGTATAATGGAGTGAAAAAATCCCTGTTATTGTTCTTTAGATTAGGTTTGGATAAAGTGGAGTTTTGATTTTTGATTTTAGGAGTTTTTGATTTTCTGTACGGGTTGGATAGGTTTTCTGTTTGCCCTGTATTTATCCTTTTCCTCCCTGGGTCTGGATATGCCATACTTTTGTAGTTTGCACCAAAAATATTTATRTTCTTTATGTTTTCTTTTTTTCTTTTCTTGTGGTTCTCCTTCCCTTGAATTGCTTTGCCTATCACTTCTGCCCTGTTTGCTGCCAAACTTGCTCCTCATTATTTCACTTCCCCAAAACTGAAGGGTCACTGTCATTCCAGTGTCTTGGAAGCATAATTTCTTTTATTTTTAATCATTGATTATTCTGTGCTCATGGAATTACCCAGCCCCTCACCTTTTCCTGCCTGATGTTCTCTGTCCCCTTCTTTTCTCCCAGGATTTCTCTTGGCTCACCAGCCCTTGATCTCCTCAATTCCTGCCCAGCTTCATCAATAATGAGTGATTCTTCGTGGCCTATTTTAACAGCTATTTTCTAGCAATCATTGCAGGCAGGCAGAAATCCATCTTTTACCTTTTGCTACATGTCCTAAAAAATTTTTAAAAATACAAATATAAAGTCCTGCTTCAACTTCTGAAGATTTTGTGCCATTTCCCACCTTTTGTGCAATGAGGAGGCAGAAGGAAATGCAGCCAGTGTGGCTTCCTTGGCTTCAAGGCACWGCACAAAATGAAATATTACTGCATGCCCTCACAATTTGGGATTCTCTCCTGCTGAAAATCTCCCATGCTAAATGTCCYAAGGAGATTAAGATCAACCCTTTTAATATTGCTTTTAGCTGGGCTTATTTGGAAGCCTTTTTGAATGTGTAGCACCTTAAAGKTGGGACTCGATGGTGTTTAAAGTCCTTTCCAGCCTAAATGATTCTGTCATTCACAGAGATGTCACCACAGGGCTGTGGCTTTTAAAAGCATGACATGGAGTATTTTCTCAAATACAACTTTTTTCTCCTCTTTCGCACTCTTTTGTTGATGATAAATGCAGKTTTTAATATTTTTTTTTAATATACTGCTTTTTTTTTTCTCTTTGAGCAAGTCCTGCTGCTTTTCCACAACTCTTCCACTTTCTAATTGCATTGCTAGRTATGCCTTCCTCCAAATCCTAAATAACTGTGATTATCAGCATGTAGGATAAGTTTWCATATACTTAAAAAATTAAACTAAAGTCAGAGAAGACCATATGGGTCTCTTACTGAATTTCACCCAGATTCAAGAGATTAATATACATTGACTAATGTAAAGGGCCAAATTCTGCTGTTTCTTCTTTTTTTAAAAAAAAATTATGTGTTTCCCATCACTGGTCAGGGATGTGGGTGAGAATAACTCCAGTTCAGGTGGTCTCCATGTCCTCTGCTTCCAGTCCCAAAAGGGATAAGGCTCAGGCTGAATTCCCAAAATCCCTGAAGAGCAGAAGGGTGTTTTGGAGACTGTTGCCATTGATTATATAGAGGAGCATCGTCGTAGTGCTATGAAGTTGCTTTTWAAAAMCAYTTCAGTCTGAAAAGAGTGATGTCAAGTCATCAATTAATCCTGACAGCATCCTTCTGTGGTGAAAAAATAATATTGTCACACCCATTTTATGAGCAGAAAATCTAAGGCAGAGATAATGGAGGCTCAGTAGTGATGCTGCTGCTCCCACCACATTCCCATTGCCCACTCAAGAACACTCCTCAAAGTTTGATATCAGATTACAAAAGGAAGTTCCTAAATCAGAATGAACTCTGGGCCACCTCTCCTTTACCCAGATCACTAAACCTCAGCCAGTTCTTCAGAGACACTTCAGCTGTCTCTCTTAAAATGCGAGTTAGACTAAATAATAAGAAATCCTGGGTAAAAAATCTAGCTGTGCACGTGTGAAAATGGAAATTGAATACTCCAAGGAGCATAGGTTTGGTGTCTGTGCCTTTTGTGTGCCATGTACAGCTGGAGTTTGGTCATTCTGATGTTTTCATGTTCTTAGGATGAAATTTAGAGCATCTTCATACCATGCCCAGTTCTTATTTTTCCATTTCCAGATGCATATCAAATCGAGTGAAAATACAAAAGCATTTCAAATACCTCAACTAAACAACAAAGCCAGACCCTGGAGTCACATTAGCTYGATTTTCCCCCAAACATAATATCTTAAAAGAAAAGTTTGCATTTTAATATCAGGCTTTTATACTGGTTTGCAGTTCTTCTTCAGGAAATGGAGTATATATAATTAATACTGTTTAATAAAGCTCAAAAATGCAACAGATGCAGCCAAAAGTGCACATCATTTTGAGCAGATCTTTACAGAACAGACATTCCATATTGTGTTCATCTTTTTCCACGAGCACTGCTATGGCAATCTGGTGTGTTTAGCAGTTGTTGCTGAGTAAGGCAGACTGGATTGTATATGATTTTCTCCATGTCAGCCAAGAAACAGAGCTCGCTCCTTTTWGATGCAGCAAAGAGGTGGTCTTGTGCTATTTATTTCTTTCTACCAGGAGCAGCTGAGACCTTTAGTATCGTGCAAGAATAATAATGCACTGCAGTCTGTAGGTGCATGGGCCAGAAGGTTTCTGGAGGTCTGAAAATAAAATGGTTCTGGTGTGGAGAAGTCACAGGAGCTGATAACACAGTTAAGATGAGCTCCCAAACAGAAAAGCTACAAGATTCACAAAACGTGTCATTAAAATCTGTGAGTACTTAAAAGGGAAACGTTTTATACGGGGGGATGGAAGGAGGTTCACCTACAGCAGAAAACCCGCAAGAGAGGCTCCAGTGCAGAGGAAACGTTTCCCCTTTCAGCATTCCTTCTGGGTGCCAAATTTTCCTTCTGTTCTTCCCCACCTATTAAACAAAGCTGCAACTTCCAATTCCTATCAGTTTTCCTAAATATGTGCAGCTTATGTGGCTTCGCCGAGCTGTAAGGCTCCGTGTTCTCCTGCCAGCTCCTTGACAATGTGGCTCCAACAGCATCCTCCACTTTTGGCTGCCTCTGGGACCCCTGGTCTCTTCTGGAAAGCGAGAGGGAAAGCATATCCTTTGCTGGAAGGACTTTTTGTGACTGTGAAGCTGATAGCGGGGCTGTGAAGAGCTTGGAAGGATCCCCGTCAGCGTCGTGGCTGTCGAGTMTGCCGGTCCGTCGCCACGAGCTGAGGCAGCGTGGGCTCACAAAATCACTGCTAAAGCACCCACAAAAGCCTGTCCAGGGGAAACTGAGGCTAAGGGGGAAACTTTGTCGTGAATTACACCAACTCCCAGYGTCGAAGCAGTTTTCCTTGCAAGCATCTGTAACGGGGATGTTCTYTTCCAGCCAAATCCGAATCCGTGTGAGCCTGCGTTGGCTCTTTGAGCTGGGCATTTGGAGGGAGCTGAATACTGGCAAAAGTTTCTGCACAGAAGTTACCTACCCGAAACAGGTGGCTCTTTTAAGCGTGAGGATGCAGCAAACTAAGAGGCAAAGATGTGGGGTCTTTGCAACTGGGAGAAATCCACTCTCCAAACCAGTGCTTGGCTACTGGAATCGCTGTGGGGACTCCTGGTTCACAGATGTGAAACAAATTACGAGGCTTATGCAGTTGCATTCCTCCTTATTATTGGGAACAAAACAAATCAGGGGGATGGAGGACTTCTTACAGCGATTATTGTCTGGCTTGATTTTAAGAAAATGCGACTAATTCTGAAAACTCCACAATTCCTGAAGGTTTTTCAGTCTAGGGAAGTCACATTAATTAKAAGATTAATTTATTTTAATTCCCTAAACCAAAAATATTGACTGAATGGGAAGTTAACACRTGTAGAGCTGCAGATGTCATTTGGCTTCAGATTTCCTAAATGATATAATTATTAATCTTTCATATAATAGTGTGAGAGACCTACAGATTTTGTTCTACAAATTACTCTGTGAAGAAAGACACCAGGACATCTGAGATATAGATTTTTTCCCTTAATACAGGAAGGAAAACRGTGGAATTTTCTAAATAATAAATAAAACCAAAATATTTTAAAGGCATATGGTGCACATCTGTTGAAATACAATAACTTAAAGCAGAGTAATTAAATGCAAGATATAATATTCACCTTAGAGTGGGGGAATTATCTCATTCCATTTTTAATATAACTTAAGTAATTTGGGGATTTTAGATCATTTGTGATACCTTTTGAACCTTTCATTTTGTGCTAGTAAAGAAGACAGATTAGAAAATCAGRGGGTTAATTTGCTTTTAGGGAACCTAACTTGCATTTCATTTCATTGAGTGTCATACCCRTACAAACCTTTAATATTATCTTCGGCTGAAATGATAAATAAATACACATTTTTTTTATATTCTGTTTTAATCTCCAGTTACCTTCTTAAAAATCTCAAGGTAGAAAATGCCTTGTGGTAGTTTATTCCTTTCTTTACCTAAAGTACCSAATGGATGGAAAGCTTTTCATGAGTTTCCTAAATGGATTCCTAAAATTCCAGCTTGARAAATCCTGTGGGTTTAGGAGGAGTTTTTGATTAACCTGTTACTCCTGAAAAAAAGAAAGATTGAACTCTAATGGAAGTCATATATGTAGTTTTTTGGACAGGAAAAAAAAGCCACCCCAAAACATTTTTTTCCTACCCAAAAAGTGGTTTCGCCTTCAGGTAGGTGCTCGGTCTTTCTCGCTTTCAAAGTTGATAATTTGAAGAGTAAATGCATCATTTGAAGATGGRGAAGAGAGAGAAGAATCTGATGAAACTGAGTTTTGATTCCATGTGTTGTGTGGAGTAAAATGTTTAGCCATAAGCAGAGGGAAATTCTTTGAATACATTTAGTCCCCAGAAGTACAATTTAAGAGCAATATTGATCTGATAAATACCCCCCCCCCGCCCCCCATTTTCATAAATGTAAAACTTAAATGATGCTGAGATAAGTTCTGTTTGTTTTAAGGGAACATGACAAAGATCCTGAAACTTTCTTTAAAGTCCTGATGAAGCTGAAAGACCAAGATCTGCCTTTTCATGTGTCCGTTCTCGGAGAGACTTTCAGTGAAATTCCAGGTACATTTCCTTTTCTCCTTTACTATAAAGTTACCATRAAGTAGATACTTCCAGAAATAGTTCTCATTTATGTGGTTTTTTATCTTAGTGGAAAGAATGTGCTTAAAGTCTTCCTAGTTGTGAAACTAAATGATATTGATACATTGTAAAATTAAAATTATTAAAGACAGTAAGCATTTTTGGTTTTGCTTGGCAGAGCAAGACCTTATTTATGACTTGTGGTTCAGCAACACTTCTGTATTTATTTAAATAGAGAGATAGGCGTGAGTGATTGGATGGTTCAGATAGGAAATGAAATCTTTCAGGTCGAGGTCACTCATCTGAAATCCAGACTGAGATTTTAGCAGGTGAAAACACTTAGTTCCCTTTCAAATGTCAGGTTAAGGACTGCTGTGGAGAGCTTCTGGTTTGTATCTGGCATGAAAGTGGTCATTAATCTTCAATATTTTTATACCACTCTTTTGGACAGTCCTTCCTTTTCTTGGCTTCTGCAGAACCACAACTCCGTGAACAGTTTCACCTGTCTGGAARATAAATAGATTTTATTCAGGCACAGAGCTTTGTGCCTGAGATMTTATGGCAATAAAGAGAATAATCAAATCCTGTACTGGGTGCACTTGTAATAAATTAAACCTTTTAAAAATGTGCATTAATGACAAGAGAGTGTCAAAATATCCGATGTTTTAGCTCGTAAGCTYGTATGTGTTTTCCAAAGTGTAGACTTGCATCTCTCCGTCTCATCAGGCTGTAAAAATAGACTGGGGATTAGTTTATTTGTCAGTTCTGTCATATCTGTTGCCTGCTGGACTGGTGATATTTCAATTGGTTTAGTTTTGATTTTGCWGTTTTTAAGACACCAAGAAATTGATCTGATCCAAATAACTTTTGGGTCCCCAACTGAGGCACAGCTGGGTTGGAAAAAGAGGTAATAATTCAGTAGCAGGAAATTCTTCATGTTTTCTGTCCACTTSCTTTTCAGACAGTTTTCTGAAAGCCTGTTCTTCTAGGCAAGCCTCATCACAGATCCCAAGGCAACGTTGCTTTCCAGACTGAGCACACCAGATTTCTTAGAAGGAGAAATTTCTAAGGAATATGTGACAGATAGGAATATACGATGGTGCGCTGCGGGAACAGATTCTATTGACACTCATTTTGGATGTTGTTACATATCTCATTTGTGGCTTCAGTACTTATGAATAATGTAGATCATCCTAAATTTATGCCAGTATATCAAATCTATATGCCGCACCTCTTGTCTTGTCAATTCATTCATCCTCGTGTCTAAATAGAGTCTATAGAAGGGGCAACGTGGTGAAATGTGTCTCATCACCACGGATCTGATAGGGCCATACTCATACAAATGACATATGCAGGTCATTGCTAACAAGCACCAATAAAACCTGTTGCACATATTTCATTGAAAAATCTACTTAGGAGGGCTTTTGCAGGTTCTTTTTTTTTATTTTTATTTTTTTTAAATAAGTTGTTGGCATCACGTTTCCGCTCCCTCCAATTATGGGACCAAATTCTCTCGTTATTATAAATGTCACATTTACAGTCGTTGGTGATAGAAGTGGATTATGTGTTTCATAATTTGGCAACTATTCATTTATTTGAAACACCCGGTTTTTAGTAGCTTGCTGGTTCAAAACACACAGCAAACATCCCGTAGGAAGTTAGGAAATCAGTACTTTTCAGTGTTGCTAAAGCTTGGCTTTAGACTCTAAATGAAGAATTATGACGTAAGGGTTCAGACAAGTGTGCTTCGGACGGGCAAATCCTCCCCAGGAAAAGAGAGCGAGCAGCTCCATGGCTGACTCTTATTTGGGATTTGTCGGTGGTGAGGAGGGGAGGCTGGCAGTGTCCCAGTGAAAACCAGAAGTTGCTCCTTATGAGTTAGAGTTGTTGTGTCTATCTCATCTTTAATCGTTGGATGGACATCATTTCATTGAGAGATTTCAGTCTGTTTCCTCTCGTTGGTGCTCCTCTGTCCTGGGGTATGAGCTCCACTCTCCATGTGGTTTTATGATCCATCATATTTTGGTGAGATAAGGATAGCAGCAGGGTATTGGAGAGGCTGTCACAGACATCTGAGCCCCATACCAAAACCAGCATCTCTCCATCCTTACCCTAATGCTGTCCCAAACAACCTGCTGTCATCCCAACCATCCTCATTCTCCTGACAGCTCCACCTCTGAGCTCTGGAGCACTCAGACTTTCCTCAGAACCTTGACTGTACTGCCTCCAGCTTTTTCACCGCTCCTCCACCCAGTCTGCTTGTTTCCACCCTGCCTGCCAGCACATCTTCGGTCTTTCCCGTACTCTCCATCTGGTTCCTTTCTGTGTTGCTYCTTCCTTTCCCAGCCCATTGCTCTGCTCCTTTCCTTCAG